ATAAGCTGTTTTTTCTTTATATTTCTCACACCAACTAATACGAGCTAATGCATGCTTTTCTGAGATAAAGGGTTTTTTTGCAGCAACATGGGAATAAATTCCAACACTATGTAATGCTCTTTTAGCAGTTGTAAGGCTGCAATTTAAATCTAATGTATTAATGACTTCATGTAAAGGTTCGCATCGATCTTGTGTAACTTTATTTATGAGTGCATTTTTCTCATTATTATTGAGAGCAGGTGGACGCCCCGATCTAGGTAAATTTTTAGTTTTCCCTGTCTTCTTGTATCTGTCAATAATTCTTCTTATTGTGGTGGGGTCACGACCCATTTTTCTTGCTATTTGTGCAGGGTTAAAATTCTCCATATATGCTAGTATTTTTCCTTTATCTTGAAAAGTTAACTCAGTTCTATGTGACATTATTTTTTTAACTTTGCAACGCGTTTATTAGGTTATGAAATTGTGAGAAAAACATTTAAAAATAAAAAAAAGGGGGTATAAATAATGTAAATTTTGTGTATCGTAACACCGTACAAAATCGGGCGTCACTTTTGGACCTGACTGTACATCGTAATGTATGGGTAATGAACATTTTGAATTGGCGATGAACATCAAATATTGTGACATCGGTAGTACATTGCAGGTCAGCATTTCTTTATGATGTACATCAAGTGGCCGATGTACATTTGATGAATATTTTTCCCGTGACTTCCTGATGTAATTATGTCAGTATAAATGAATTACGTTGCGTCAATACGCAATTCGGCATTGTGCCGTAATATTACGGCATTTGAAAATGAGAAGTATACTTATAAATATGTAAATTAGGATATATGGTTAGAATAATCTCATACTGTGTTCTTATGTAACCGATCTGCGCCAAGCCTAGATATCAATATTGCAAATCAGTGACATATTGAGTATGACTAGTACCTCATTATTAGACTGGTGGCGATATTTATTTATTTTTATTAAGAACGTTCACACAGTAAGTTTTTTTCGTTCCAATTCTTCTATTTCTTGCATTTTATTCTTTTAATGTTTCTTTTTTTTATGATATTTCAGTCTTCCAGTTGATTTTAAAACATGTAAATTTATTATTTTCATTTATTTTAACTTCTTTGTTCTGTTCCTTATTAACTTTATTTTATTTTACCTTGATTTTATTCTTTAGTTTGTCTTTTGATTTTATTCTTTGGGATTGTTATCTTGATTTTATTCTTTGGATTTATTCTTTACTTTAGACTTACTTAGCTTCTTTTAAGAAAAAGATGAAACGTTCAAGACATACCAAATACAATGCAAAGAAACGATTACAAAAGACATCTATGGTACTTTTCATTTTACTTCTAAAAATATAAACAATTCCACTATAATCTAATATCAGAATTTTATAATTAAACAGCAAGTTCAAGATACGAATTCTTCTTCTCAAACAATAGCTTTTGATCTTATAGAGGTATATGATATTATCATTTATAAACTGGATGATTTACTGATCTAGTTTAATATATAAATGAATCAGGATGATGATCCATTTATATACTACTAGATCTAATACTTATATAAATAAGTAATTTAACTAGACAATTTTTTTTTTTTAATTTATAATTAAGCAACAAACTCAAGATGATGTTAGTTCCTCATCTGTTAGTTCCTTCTCGCCTGTTGAAGTAAAAACAAACATAGTATTTAATCCTTTGCAGGTATATATTATCTTTGATATGTCATAAAATATAAAATATAAATAAAATAATCTATATTGTATAATTTAAGCATCGAACTCAAGGAGGTTCCAGAGATTTAAGTACCTCAGATATAGTTCGATATATGAAAAATGAATGGTCAAGTGTTCCGCTTTGCGCTTTTTGCCGAATATCTTCTAATGTAACAACAATTTCAATTATGAAAGATATTTCAGTAATGGATTTATTAATTGAATGCTTAATAAGGGAATCAAGACAATCTAAAAATAATAATGAAATTCCTAAAATTCCCTTAGAATTTTATAATCTTGCTAAAAGTATTACTGAATCAACTAATGATCAATTAATGAACAATAATAATGATATGTGGATTAAATTTGGTCAATGGTTGGAATTAAAAAAGCCAATTAGTAAAAGTGATGTACATCAACATCTTAAATCACAATGGAAGAGACTTTCACATGCTGCTGAAATTCGAAATTCTAAAGTTTTGGAAATATCCAAAGAAATTTTAGAAATTGAGAAAAAAAAATCAACTATA